CTGGCTCCATCCCCGCCTCTTCGACCTGTTTGTTTCCTCTCCACCTATCCTCTCCTCTATCCCTCTTCTATCCACCTCCCACTCTCTCCCTACTTATTTCAAAACCTCCTTCCCCTCCCCCTTTTCTGATGAAGGGTCTAGGCCCGAAACGTCAGCCTCTCTGCTCCTAGGATGCTGCTTGGCCTGCTGTGTTCATCCAGCCCTGCACCTTGTTGTCTTGGACTATGTAATGAGGCACTTTTTATAATGGGCAAGAAATCCACAATTCTTGTTCAATATATTTCTTATCAAATAATAGGTGGCTTCACAGCATTGAGCTTAAGTAAATTTAAACAACTCTCCGCATTTAATTTTTCATAATTTTTCCATGATTAATCTTATTCGCATTCATTAGAAGCCCTATTAAAAATGTAAATTAAAGATCACAAAAATCTCCACTATCAACTTAGCAAACAAATACTATGGAATTCAGAATTCAGAAGCAGTGGCAAATCACTGCCCAAATATTGTAAATAATCAACATATATAATTGGGAGACTTCAAAACATGAATGGGCATTTCAGTCTTAACAATGAAGGTGTTTTACCAGAATCAATTATACATTATTCAGTAATATTCTGCCCGCCTTACGTACCACTATTTATTCAAATTCAGCAATCTTTATTTTTGAGACCTATAAACCTATATTCAATTTGCTGATCATGCACTTAAATGCTCCACTTCCAAGTCTGGGTTTTAATGAAAAACGGATACCACTTGTTGAATTATATCAAACATCACATATTCTACTCACATCTAGACATGCATTTATACTTAGAACAATTAGAGAAACTCGGGAGTTTTGATTCAAACAGATTTTGAAAAGACCAAAGACAGACATAGAACATTCTGACAATTATGACAATATAAACATGGCAATTAAAAAAACTCTCTAGTCAATGGTTTTTGCTTAAAATACAGGTAAATGCCAAGGGGAACACTGGATTTTTTTGAAGCTGCTGTTAAAAGGTCGTTACTGCAAGTGATGGTGAAAGCTGAAGTCTACAATGTTTTAAAGGTAAAGCTTTAGAAAAACTGGCGTTTTCAATGTTATTGTCAAGAAGATAATACAAGTGCAATGAGGTGACTGCATGCTTCAATACTAAGATTTGGCAGAAAATGTTGACCCTCGAACTCAATCTAAAAGTAACTGGTGCAATTAGTTATTTCCAAGTAACAGGAATGAGAATTAGTGAAGGAAATAAAATCAGAAAATGTTTTTGTTCTGAAGAAATGTGTACACATGATAACAAGAAGAGTGAGAAAGTCATTGTAGCGTGAGTGGCCAGAAAATGATAGTACCAGTAGTGATCTGTTGGAAAATGCAAATGTTTCCAGGCAACTTCAGGTGCGTGGAATTATTAGATGTTAAATGAGTAGAAACACAAGTTTTCCTTTTGTTTACTTTCTACTAGAATGAAAACTATCTAACAAAGCATTTGCATAAAATCATGTCATCTCGGTAATTTCAACGGTTCAGCATTTTTTTTTCTTCTTCATAAAATATGGGTGTTGCCAAACCCTAATTGCTCTTGACCCAAGAGGCTTGCTTGGCCACTTACGAAGGCAGTTAAGTGTCAACCACACTGTTGTGTGTCTGGTGTCAAATGTAGGTCAGACTTGGTAAGGATGGCAGATTACATTCCCTAAAGGACACAGTGAGCCATGTGAGTTTTTACAAAAATTGATAATGATTTCATCATTGTCATGACTGACAGACTAGCTTTTAGTTCCAGATTTATTAGTTCATTTTAAATTCCACCAGCTACTGTCGTCAGATTTGAACCCACTAGGCTAGGCCTTTATGTTACTAGTGATGTTACCACAATGCCATTGTCTCCTAGTTTGTGTATATAATGCAGGATGAAGTCCAAACTAACAATGAAACGTGTACATAATCTACCAAGTTCATGTAAAGCAAAGGGTTGCAAAGATGAGTTGGAGGAGGTAAAACATTTCAAAGGGGAGAATTCCATAATCGAAAAGTTACAATTCTGCCAAGAGGTCGAAATCTTTCATCTCTGAAATAATTGCAGGAGGGAGAGAACACACTTCAAAAAGGATTACAAGCTACAGAAAATGCAAATCAAGTAGAAACTGGGTTTCAAGCTGCAGCAAAATTACATAGAGAATTAACATTCAAATGACTAAAGAAAATATACTTTAGCAATGGTATAACTCTAAACATTCAGTCAGCATTTCACTTCATCATTATGCAACTGATGACAAACAAAATTCAATCACTTCAATTTATTTTTCAATACCTTTAGTTCCTCCTTTACGTCCCTTTGGATCACCCTTGGAAAGTTCACCAGCATCTCTCAGTACTTGCATGGCAGTGTTGAAGTTATCTTCTCTAAAATCTCCCTTTCAGATACAAAAATAAATAAATTTTCTGAAAGATAAATTCATTAGCATCGTGACTGGCTGTAAAGCTGGAGAGGTGTACTGTAATCTTTTGCATCATCATATTAATAATTACCTTCTAATTTCCATGGTAAAATCATTTGCACATCTAAAAGGATCATGAATCTGTGGAATTCATACCCCAGAGTGTGGCAGGTGTTGGGAAACTGAATACATTTAAGGAGGAAATGTACAAATTTTTAATTAGTAATGGGTTAAAGGGTTATGGGAAACGGGCAGGAAAGTAAAGTTGAGACAGAGATGAGATCAGCCACGATAATGTTAAAATGGTGGAGCAGGCTTAAGAGGTTGAATTGCCTACTCCTGCTCTTAATTCTTAAAATTACCTGCAATTAGCACCAGAAAGCTAACTTTTTCATAGACTTAGACCTCTTCATTAGGACAGTTCGTGGGGGAATGAGGTGGGCAGGGAAGGCATTGCTGGAAAAGACTGTGCACATTGAAATAAAACAAGGAGCTGCAGATGCTGAAGGTCTGAAACCAGAACAGAAATTGCTGCATAAATTCAGCAGGTCAGGCAGCATCTGTGGAGAGGAACTAGAGTTAATGTTTAGAGCCTGGTGACCTTCCTTCACAACCGACAGTAAGTAGGAAAATGTGGTATACATGCTGACGACGTTTTTTGAACGGGGGTGATGGACGGGAAGCATTGAACAAATAAATGGAGACAGCACCCAGAGGGACAGAAAGAAACTTAAGCAACCGAAGGAATGGTTGATAGTAAGCGAGGGAAGGAGAAAAGCCGATAATGAGGACTGTGAATGGATAAGAGTGGGTTAGCTGTGTTGAAAGCAGCCAATGTTGTGACACAACCTGGGTATGATGATGGGCTCAGGATATGGAAAGTGGTGTTGAGGCTCTAAAAGTTGTTCAACTTGACACTGAGTCCTGAAGGCTGCTGTGTCCCCAAGTGGCAAATTACATTCTGTTCTTCTATCTTGCACTGAGCCTTGCTGGAGCACAACGAGGGCAAGCTTAGCCAGGTGGAGGACAGTGATGGTGGATGGGGTTCAACTTGTTCAAGGTGAGGACAAATAATAGTCTCACAAAAGTGAAGAGACAGGTTATCACTTTTATTGAGCTGCTCAGCCTCCTGTGATCCATTTAAGGATTCTCCACCCATTTTTAACTGCAAATTGTAATAGCGATCCTACAACTGGTACAAAATTTGGTAAATTCAAACAACCTTTCCACCAGGTCTCCAAACATAGACAAAGCTACTCTGGCATTCATTGGTACATCTGAAACTTTTGAGAGGTAGTCCTAAGGGTCAATGAGGTGGCTACACTTCCTTCACTACCTACAAGTTTCAATTGCTTTGGCCATTTTTCTGGCAGATATACCCATCTAACATTTACATATCCCCAGTTCCAAGTATACAATGAAAGTTTGTGAATCACATTTGTACAGCGCAGTTCAAAAATCTGCCTCACTTACATTTTCATCAACTACAAGGTGCAATCCATCACCTCCCGCTGGAAAAATATAGTGCTGCAAAGGTGTCGGTCTGTAGTCGGTATAGATCACATGGCATGGCTGAAACAAAAATTTACAAATAAGACTTTCAAATGAATTAGAAAATGTACACCTTATTTATAAATTATAAATATCTACCTTACAAGTCATACAATCAGAAACGTTCAATCTAATTCACATTGCAAACACTTACACAGATAAAGCATTAAAGATATGTTTTAAGCTTATAGTTTCAGAAATACACAATTTAACAGATTACATGGATGTTGAAACTTCTGGAATAAGGGATGCAGAGAATAAAACTAACAGACTTTGAACCAAAGGCATATTTTTATACCATATCTGCGTAAGTGTAAAAATGAAAAGGTGTCAATTAGAATCCTATTGCTAGAAACGTGGGAAAACATATGACAACAAGAAAGAAACATTCTGATAAACATACTCCAAGTGTTTGGAATTTTGTTAATGTCAGAAAGCGTGGTGTTAGAAGTATGAAATGAAGTGTAACAAGAAACAAATAAAAAACTGATCAGTTTTAATTTTGTGGGATAAACTGCCATTTCGTGTGCAGGATGGTGTCAGATTCCCATTTGGACTAATTAAATTACTTTGTAGCAGTACAGGCTTGACAAACTGAAGGTCTTCTTCTGTAGTATATTATTCTGAAATGGCATACTGAAAATCTAGTTGTACAAGCCAAGCCAGAGAACGTTGCTGGGGTTAGATGAAGAGGTATGGAAAGAGGTTATCTTGAAGCATGAACGTTGTGGAGACCAGCTGGGCCATGTAGCATTTGAAAACAAAATGCATACTGGCAAACTACACAACAAATGCAACTAATAACATGATTTAACAGATGTATATCAAGGAGGGGCAGGTGGCAAGGAAGGGAGATTTGATTTAAAAAGTGTTCAAAATTGTGGAAGCAAGACATTTCAAGGTTGCGACTAAAAGTTGAGAGATCTGGGAGAATGCATAACAGATAAAAATATGAGAAGGTAAGGATTTAAGAAATATGAGGAGTAGGCTATACAGTTCTTTCATTCCACATCTGCTATGTCATTCAATGCAACTATTGTTGGTCTTCGGCTTCATCTCTAATTTCTCACCTGCTGCACACGTCCCATGCTTCCCCAATTGACTAAACATCTGCTATCTGAGCAACTAATATATTCATTAATATATATAACATATAGCCTTTGGGGTAGCGAATTCCAATGATTCTGAATTCTGATTTGGTCATAAATGAACATGGCTGCCTTCTAGATTCCCCAAACAAATTCAGTGTCAGTCCTCCTAATCACCTTCAGAACTTTGTAGGTTTCTACAGGACCAACTTCCTTCTTTTAAACTCTGGAGGATACTAATCAAATTTACTTGGCCTTTTATCAGTGAATAAGCCTCCCATCTCAGGGATTTAATGAACTATTGTTGGACTGCCTCCAATCTAAATATTCTCTTCCTTAAATATGAAGACAAAACTGTACACACTGCTCTAGCTGTGATAAGCTGTAGTAAGATTTCCTTATTTTGTACTCTAATTCTTTGCAATAAAAGCAAACATACAACAGGTCTTCATTGTTGCTCGCTGTATTTGCACACTAACTTGTTGTGTTCTTTATCAGCACAACCAAGTAAATGATAATGTTTAGAAAAACATATTTCACAGCTTTTCAAAAATATTATGTTTTTCCATTCTTGCAAGTGAAGTGAATAACCTCAAACTTCTCATATATTCCATCCTTCACCTCGTTGCTCAGTCATTTAACCTACCTTTAACTCTTTGCAGCCTCTTCACATCATCCTCACAACTTATATTCACATCCAGCAACAAACATAGGCTTAGTACTCTCCACTCATCAATAGAAACATAGACGGCAAAAAAGGTGAGCCCTATTGCTGGTCCTTGCAACACTCTGCCAGCTATAGCCCACCAACTTGAAAATGTTCCATGTATCTTTACGTTTTGCTGCCTGTCCATTATCCATTCCTCTATTCATCCTAAGGTACAACCTCCAACTTCATGAGCCCTTATCTTCTGAATTAATGTAATGGGTGGCACTTTATCGAGTACCTTTCAGAGATCCAAGTATACTCCATCCATTGGCTCCCCTTTATCTATCATGCTAGTTACATCATTAAAAATGTGAATAAATTGTCAAACACAACTTCCCTTTCATAACAACCATGTTGATTTCATCGTACTATTTATCTAAGTACGGTGCTGAGACTTCCTTAAGTATTGATTCCAGTACTTTTCAGATGGCTAACCTGGGCTCACTGGCCTGTACCTCCCTCCTGCTCTCCTTTCTTTGAATAACAAAATTTGCTAACCTCCAATTTTCTGAGGCAGTTCCAGAACTTCAGGAATTTTAGAAAATCGTAACTGGTCCATGCACTATCTCTGCAGCTCTATCATTTAGAGCACAATACAAGCCCTAAGAATTGCAAATTGAAAACATATAGCCTCAAAAATTCCTCAGAGAAATATCCTAATTCCAAAACTCTTGAGATTCGTCATCTTTCCGCTGTCACAAAATCAAGAAAGGGACTGCTCACTAATGAATCCAGTGTTGAACATCGTTCACAATTTATCCAATAATGAAGCAGCGTTTGCCAGCGTTCAACAGCATTTGAGATGTTGTCACACTACAGGTCAGAAACGGAGCTTTTGATAATATGTACATGGAATGGAGG